GGGGGGGGGGGGGGGATCTCAAGGTCACAGTCACTACCATCACCACCATCAACATCAGCCTCTAGGGGCCCACGCCTCACAAGCATTATTATTATTTTTTTTAGGTATTTTTTTTACTGAGACAGGATTAATGTAAGCTGTTATAAGACAACTCTGCAGCGCCTCTCCCCCGTCCTGCTCCGGCTCTTGGGACCTCTGGGGAACCGAGTCTCTCTGTCCACCCTCTGTGGCCAAGCCACCCACGGTGTGCCTGTGTCCCCAGTTTTGCATGTGACTTTCCAGATGCCCCCTCTTCCAGGACTCTTTCCCTTCCAGCCCCAGCGCCCATCCTCCAGAGAGGAGAGAGGGACTGAAGATGAAATCAATGATTCATCATGCCGCCGTGAGAAAGCCTCGTAAAATCCCCAGGGCGCCTGCTGGCTCCATCGGTTAAACATCTGACTTCAGCTCAAGTCACACTCTCACAGTTAGCGGGTTTGAGCCCCGAGTCGAGCTCTGTGCTGACAGAGTGGAGGCTGCTTAGTATTCTCTCTCTCTCTCTCTCTCTCTCTCTCTCTCTCTGCTCCTCCCCCGCTCATGCTCTCTTTCTCTCTCAAAGCAAATAAACAAACTTAAAAAACATCCCCAGGGGCACCTGGGCGGCTCAGTCAATTAAGTGTTCAACTTCAGCTCAGGTCACGATCTCACGGTTTGTGGGTTTGGGGCCCGTGTCAGGCTCTGTGCTGACAGCCTGGAGCCTGTTTCAGATTCTGTGTCTCCCTCTCTCTCTGCCCCTCCCCCTCTCACATTCTGTCTCTCTCTCAAAAATAAAAAAAAATTAAAAATTTTTTAAAATTAGAAAATAATCCCTTCACTGTGGGGTTCACAGAGCCTGTGGGCTAGTGACTGCAGCCACATGTCAGCGGGACGGGGCGCCCGAACTCCGCAGGGGCAGAAGCTCCCGTCCTCAGGGCCCTTCTAGACCTTGTCCCACGTCCCTCTTCATCTGGATGCTCACCTGTGTCCTTTTTAAGTCACTGAACATAGGTATTTCCTTGAGCTCTGTGAGCTATTCTAGCAAATCATCGAACCCGAAGAGGCAGGTCATGGGAACCACCAATACACAGCCAGTAACTAAGAAGTAAGAGAGGCCCAAACTTTCTTTCTTCCTTCCTTCTGTCTCTAAGTAAACCTCCACACCCAACCTGGGAATTGAACTCATGACCCCAAGTCGTGAGTCTAATGTCCCACCAACCGAGCCAGCAGGTGCCCTGCCCCCAGGAGGCGCAAACTTCGCACCGGTGTCTGAAGCAGGGTGGTCCCGGGAGCGGAGCCCTTGGCCTGTAGAAGGCGGGCGGTCTACGGGCGGGGGGAGCGGAGCAGGCCCGCTGGCGCCGGGCGAGCTGGAGGCCCGGCTGCTGTAGATGCCCCAGCACACACGTGTGCTGTCACGAGTGTTGTGAAAGTGTCGTGAGCGGAGGGAGCGGCTCCCCTCCAGCTTCCGGCAGATAGAGGCAAAGCGGCCACGGGGCCCAGGCCGCCCAAGGCCGGGCGTCCACCCAGCACCGTTCACACAGCCAGAGGCGGGCGCCGTCCGACGTCCGAGTGGTGACCGGACAGACAGAACGCGGTCCATTCACGGACCCCACAGAGGAAGTCTACGCGCTACAAACGCAGACACGCCTGGAGAACGCTGCTCGGAGAAAGAAGCCAGACTCGAAGAGCCACAGAGTGCAGGGCCGCACCTCCAGCACGCGTCCAGAGCAGGCCGAGCCATGCACAGTGGGGAGACTGGTGGCCGCCAGGGGCCGGGGGGAGAGGGCCAGGAGGGGCCACTAACAGGCACGGGCCTTCTTTGGGGAGCGGTGGAAACGTTCTGGGGTCGGAACTGGTTGCACTACGCTACACTGTACACTTCAAGGGACGATGGGGCGCCTGGGGGACTCAGTCGGTTGAGCGTCCGACTTCGCTCACGTCATGATCTCACAGTCCATGGGTTCGAGCCCCGCGTCGGGCTCTGTGCTGACAGCTAGCTCAGAGCCTGCTTCTTGTCCTCTGCCTCCCCGCCCCCTCAAAAATAAACATTAAAACAATTTTAAGAATAAACAAATAAACAAAAAGACAAATAGTATAGCCTGTGAATTTCATCCCAACAAAGCTTACTGGCGAAAAGAAAAACAAAAACAAAAAAGGAGGCCATCAAATACGGGGGCCCAGCGCACCGTGGGGAGCACTGCCTGGGTGCCCACCCTGCACTGCACATCCTTGCAGGGCACCCCGGGCTGTCACCTGCACTACCTGGCCTGTCCGTCCTTGACCCGGACCCAGTATCCCTACCTCAGATGGTGTGTGTGGACTAAGGAAGCTGGCGCTCGGCCAGGCCTTGGCGTGGGGCCTGGCACACAGCCTGCCCTACAGGCGCTGGCATCAACGCCGTCCAGGCATCCGTTCCCCGGGAGGCGGCGTGAGTGAGAGCCACCAGTACCTCTACGGGGTGGCAGCCCCCTCTCATGCACAGGACCGGCCCCTCCTCCCGACAAGAAGGTCAGCAAAGGCCGAGGACCCTGTTGGGTCGAGTGGTGTTCCCGTGGCATCAGGGTCCGGCTCTGAGTGACGGGCTTGGCGAGCTCACAGCCCTGTCCCAGCACCCGGCACAGGGTCTCAGCGGGTCATGGGAAGAACCGAATGATCAGGCCCCCTCCGTCGCCCCCCCGGCCCCCAGCCCCCGATACTCACAGGAGATGGCGAACAGGGCCTTCACGCGCACCAAGTCGGAAGCATCCCGGTCAAGAAGCCGCAGCAGCTTGCGCAGGGCGCCCAGGCCCAGCACCTGCTCCTGGATGGCCGCCACATTCTGGCTGCACGTGCCGATGAGCTGCGCCGCCCGCCACCGCAGCCCCGCGGGCCCCGCCTCCAGGTACCGGCCCACCAGCAGGTGCATGCCTGACAGCTGGCAGAAGTCTGTGCCAGAGAGAGAGGCGTGAGAGTTCAGGCGCAGGGCCGAGCTGTGCCTGCCCCCCACACTCGTGTGATGAGGCCCCGAGTGCCTGAGAAGGAAATGTACTGCGAGACCAGGGCCGTGTAAGAGGTCACCCAGGCACAGTGAGGTCATCAGGGTGAGTGCGGATCCGGCACGACTGGGACCGCATGAGGACACGGGGAGAAGGCAGCCGTCTGCACACCAAGGAGCATGCGCCGGAAGAAAGCGACCCTGCCCGCACCTAGATCGCAGGCCGCCAGCCTGCGGAGGTGGGAGAGGTGTGAGGCCTGTTTAAGCCTCCTATCATGCGGGGCTCTGTGACGGCCGCCCTCACAAGTGAACGCGCCAGCGGGGTTTGCAGGGGCAGGCTGCCTCGCGGGGAGCCCGCCTCGAGTGTGGGCTTCGTCCAGGCACCCAGGCTGCCTCGCGGGGAGCCCGCCTCGAGTGTGAGCTTCGTCCAGGCACCCAACCAGGCATCTCTGCAAGGCCGGCATGTCTCAAAAACGGCAGCATTTGGGGGTTAGGGTCCCGGGCTGCACGCACCGAATGCCGGTACTGATCCCTGATCTCCCTGGGGGAGAGCCGCATACTAGACCGGGGCTCGCCAAACTGCAGCCCAGCACCCGTTCTTGTAAGTAAAGTACTGGCAAGCTTGGCAGTTCCTCCAAAACTTAAACGCAGACTTGTCACATGACCACTCCTACACAAATACCCAAAACCCCGGAAAGCAGACACTCGAACAGACACTTGTGCCAATGTTCACGACAGCAGTTTTCTCAATAAGCGAAGGGGGAATGACCCAAACGTCCGCTAACTGATGAATGGATAAGCAGACATATGACCTAGCTGAACAATAGGGTGTTATAAGAGGAACAGGGGGCGCCTGGGTGGCTCAGTCGGTTAAGTGTCCGACTTTGGCTCAGGTCATGATCTTGTGGCACGTGAGTCCGAGCTCCGCGCCGGGCTCTGTGCTGACAGCTCAGACTCTGGAGCCTACTTCCCATTCTGTGTCTCCCTCTCTGACCCTCCCCTGCTCACGCTGTCTCTCTCTCTCAGAAATAAAACATTAAAAAAAATTTGTTATGCTGAGCGAGAGAAGTCAGGCAGAGAAGAACAGCTACCATATGTTTGCACGTATAGGAGGATTAGGGGGAACTTAACAGAGGATTGTGGGGGAGAAGAAAGGGAAAAATAGTGGGGGAGAAGGAGGGAGGCAAACCATGAGAGACTCTTGAATGCCGAGAACAAACTGAGGGCTGATGGGGAGGGGAAGGGGGTGATGGGCATGGAGGAGGGCACTTGTGGGGATGAGCACTGGGTGTTATATGGAAACCAACTTGATAATAAACTATTTAAAAAAATAAAATAATAAAATAAAACATTAAAAATTAAACAAAAATCACACTCAGACACCATATATTCTATGATTCCATTGATGTGAAACAGCCAGAAAAGACGAATACACAATGTCAGTGACTACATCACGGCCCTGCAAATCAAGTAGAAAGTCCTCGTACCAGCTCCTCAGCATTTAGAACAACCCTACATGCCGACTTCGGCCTGCAAGGCCCCACACGCCCCGCATCCCTGCTACCTCTCTCCTCTCACTCACTCCATTCTGCTCTGCTGGCCTTACTGCTGATCCCGCACATCCCAGGCATGTTCCCACCTCAGGGCCTTTGCACTGGCCATGGCCTCTGCCTGGAATCTTTGTCCGGAGCTAATCTCGTACCTCACTCCTCCACTTAGGTCTCCGATGAAATGGCACCCCTTGGGGAGCCCTTCCCAGACCATCCCGCCCAGAACCACCTCTGCACTCATGTTGCAGGGAGTGACGGCGCACTCCCAAGAGACTAGGGAGAAATGACCAGTGTGGGAGAATGTCAGGGAGGCAGACCTGCTGCCAGGCTGGTGGAGAGGCAAGGTCCCCTCCTGATGGCAAGGGGACCAAGCAGGAAGAGACAGGGCAGTCGCATGTGGGAGCAGACTAGAGAGGGAGACACTGGAAGCTGGGAGGGGGGGCAAGAGGCCGATGGTGTGACCCCGGAGAGGAAGGATGGGGGGGGGGGCTGTGCAGAGGAGGGACAGTCAGAGGGAAGGGCAGGGGGAGGGGCGGGGCCCTGGCGGCGGGGGCGGGGCAGCCGGGCGTACCTGCAGCGTTGTCCATGTTTTCACACAGGTCGGCCAGCAGCTCCAGGGCCCCCTCGCGCTCCTGCTGGTCGGCGGCCAGGTCCGCCTCGCCAGCCAAGGAGGGCGCAGGCTGGGACAGCACTCGGAGGCAGTTCTTCATCTGCTCCACCTCCTCCCGCTGGCCCCGGAAGGCAGCTGACATGGCCTCCTGCAGCCACTGACGCCTCTGGGGTGCAAGACCGGGGAAGCAATCCTCTGTCAATGATTCATTCGTGCATAACAGTTGTTACTATTACCAGCCAACATCTGAGAGCTGACTGTTCCTTCAATCAACAGGTTTCTGTCGCCTGTCTTTTCTACTCTCAACTTTCTAGACATCAGATTCACGGAGAGAGTGGCAACGGGGTGTGAGAGAAGGGACACCTAGGTTTCCGTCCCGGACAACTAGAAGGCGGCGGGGAAAACGGGGGGAGGAGCAGGTATGGAGCATGAAGAGCGGAGGTCAGAGCCCAGTTCTGAACGCGCCCAGCTTGGGAGATCTAGAACCCACCCACGGTAAAACACTGAGGAGGGCCTGGAGCTCAGGTCCGGCCGGACCGGGCTTTCTCAACCCTGGCTCTACTGACACAGAGCTGGGCGGCTCTGCTGGCGGTGGGCACACGGGAGGACGCTGAGCAGCACCCCTGCTCTCCTCCCCCCGCCCCGAGCTGAACAACTCAACAGGTCTCCACTCGTCGTCACATGTCCGGAGAGGCATAAAATCAGAACCACTGGTCTGGAGACAGACATTTGAGAGCGGTCAGGGTGAAGTCTCAACAACGTGAGGACATAAAGGAAGTGAGCACAGGTAGGCAAGGGAAGAGGCCTGGGGCTCGCCATCGCTCAGTGGCTGGGGAGTGAGGAAGAGCCAACAGAGGAAACCGGAAGGAGAGCCGGTGAGCAAGGATGAAAACCAGGACACTGCTGTTCTAGAAAACAAATGAAGGAGGAGACCAAGGAGGTGGATAAGAATCAAATGCTGCCTATTAGGTCAAATAAGATGACAGGTGAGAGCTGGCCACTGATTTTTTTCCCCCTACCAGGCCTGTTAGTGCTCATATGTGGGCTCTGTGGTCACAAATCCCGGATAAACTTGGGCAAGTTGTTAATCCTTCTGTATCCTCGGCGTTCAATGATGTCACTGGATGAGCACAATGATTCGTATAGTGTAATCACTATCCCCAACTAAACATCACGTATAACAAATATTGCTACGAATCTCCAAGACAACGCTCCCAGGTGAGTACGGCTATCCCTACTTCACAGATGAGAAAACTGAGGCGCAGAAAAGCTGTGACTTGCCCAAGGTCACACAGTCAGCCACCCGCAAAGCCTAAAGGCAAACCTAAGTGTCTGTGCACAGAGCTTGCACTGGATGAGAACAGCCTGCTGCCTTCAGGAGCACGATGTGCCCGGCACTGTGTGGACCCCACTTAAACTGGAACGTCGAAAGTACCCTATGAATGGGGCGCCTGGGGGGCTCAGTCGGTTAAGCGTCCAGCTTCGGCTAAGGTCATGATCTCACGGTTCATGGGCTCCAGCCCGGCGTCGGGCTCTGTGCTGACAGCTAGCTCAGAGCCTGGAGCCTGCTTCAGAGTCTGCGTCTCCCTCTCTCTCTGACCCTCCCCTGCTCACGCTGTCTCTCTCTCAAAAAAATAAAGCATTAAAAATTTTTTAATAAAAAAAAAAAGAAAGTACCCTATGAAGTACTATTATTACTTTTATCATCATCATCAACTTGCAAATAACGGACCTGCTGCTCAGAAAGGTGAAGTGCCAGACCCAAGGTCACACAGCTGGATATTTTGCTGAAACCAGGTCTGCCGAGCTCCCTTTTCCTTCTCGCCACGACGCTACTGTGCAACTCTGCATCCCGGCGGGGTGCTAGGACCCAGGCACTCCTGAGATCTGACCTTCAGTCTACCACAAGCCCACCTGGCACAAACAGCCCACTACGCCCTCACACCCGGACTCCCGCCCCTCCCCCCACCTCCGGGGGTCCCCACCCTTTACCTCCTCACTCATGGGTTCTGGAGGGGGGTCTGGTTCCTGAGAGCCCGCCGTGATGGCCATCTGCAGCAGGCCTTGGAGGTTTCGCGGGGGCGGAGGGTGTCCCGAGTTCCCCGCCGAGGAGCCGCCGCCCCCTGAGGAACAACCCTGGGAGGCCGGGGGCAGCGCCAGGGGGAGGCGGCTGCCCCCCGAGCCTTGGTCCGCCATGGGCTGTTTGTGAAGGGAAGAATCTATCTGGGGGAGGGGGTGGTCACCGCTGAGGTAGCGTCCCGTCCGGTCGACTCCTGGGGGTCTGCTGAGAAGGCGGCGTTTTAGGGGAGCTGGGCGCCTCCCCATGACCCCAAACCACTCCGCCCGCACCCACCTTAGCCACAGTCCTCTTTCCCTCCTTCAGACCAACAGGACCCTTCCCCAAAGTCACACGCCCCTCCTTCCACCCTCGCAACAGGCCCCACCCACTCCAACTAGCAACCTAGCAACCCCCTCCCCCATCTCCACTAAGTGCGTTCCCGTCTCTTAGCAACCCCACTGCCCTGCCCCCTTGGCAACAAGCCCTCCCTTTGACGTCTTCGCAACAAATCCCCTCTTTCCACTCCAAAGAGGGGAGCCAGGGCGGGCCGGACCTCACTAACCCGAGCCTCACCTCCCCGGGCCGCGAGTCACCGCCGCTACTAGAGACAGAGTCGCCCGCACCTGACTCTGCTGGGCGCCGCCATCTTGACCGGAAATGCGCCAAACTGGCCCGGAAGTTCGCGGCGCTCCCTCCCAACCTTGGGCCGGAGCTGAGGTCCAGGAGGCTTTCCGGCTCTTAAGCCCTTCCCACCAGGCCGGATACAGCGGTCGGCCCCGCCCCCCGCCTCACTCTCAGCCTAAGCTCTGCCCCCGACCCAGAGCTCGCCCCTTACGAGCCCCGCCCCCTACTCCTCCCTGCAAGCCCCACCCCTGCCGTGGCGTGAACCCCGCCCCCCAGTCTAGCCCCGCCCACATATGTCCCCGCCCCTCCCTGCCACCTTACGCTCCGCCCCTGTTCTGGGCCTTTCGGCCTCTCCCAGCTTGACTCCACCCCTCCCCTAAGCCCCTCCCCATGCCGCTGTGCGGGCCGCTCCCCGTTAGGCCCCACCCCCTACCTGCAGGTGGTGCTGGTCTCCCACCCTGGGGCCTTTTCCCCTGCGCCTGGCCACCTGCTCCATCTTTTATTGGAGCCCTGGGTTCTCGCCCCTAATGTCTGATGTAATCACCTTTGGCCCATTCCACCCCTCTCCTGGCCTCAGCTTCCCCAGTCGTCAAAGGGGTTCAGTCGTTCCCGCTTCAGCTCGTGCGGACACCGATCATCACCCAGCCTCTCCCTCTTGGAATCTTCCCTGGGTTCTGCCAGGAGCACGGGACGGGATTCCTGGAGGCTGAAGCCGAAGCAGAATTCCCGGACGAGGTGGTTTGGGAGGTTGCCGGCTCTGCGCACCATGTTTGGGGCCCAGGTCTGGTAACGTGCCTGATCTGTAGGGGTATTTGCCTTGAGCTGGGCTTAACCCCTGGTCCGAGTCTTCTATTAGAGGTCCCGCCCTGCCCCGCCAGGAGAAGGTCGTACTCATCTCAGGTGGGCCCCACTGTCGCACGTGAATTGCACGTGCTGCCGAGCCCGGGGTGTGCGAGGTTGTATTTGGTACAGAAATGGTGAGACAACACGACAACCCTGTGCACCCGCGGGCGGTGTTTGTAGGACTGAGCAAAACAGCCATCAGACAGGGGTCTGGGCTCCTACCCCTCCCCTAACGCCCTGTACCCTATTGTATGCGTTTTCTATTGCTGCCTTTAGCAAATTATGAAAGGGGCGCCTGGGTGGTTCAGTCGGTTAAACATGGACTCTTCATTTCGTGGGATCGAGCCCATCGTGGAGCCCTGTGCTGACAGTGAGTGGGGCCTGCTTGGGATTCTCTCTCTCCCTCTGTCTCTCTCTGCCCCTCCCCTTCTCACATTCTTTCTCTGTGTCTCTCAAAAAAAATAAACAAATATTTAAAAATAAATGATATTACAAAAAAAATGGTGGCTTAAAACAACACAGATTTATTATCTTACAATTCTGGTGGTCTGAAGCCCAAAATGGTGCTTATGGGTTAGAACCAAGGTATCAGCAGGACTGCGTTCCTTCTGGAAGCCGTAGGAGAAAGTCTGCTTCCCGCCTTTTCTGGCTTGCAGAGGCCACCCACGTTCCTTGGATTGCGGCTGCATCACTTTGACTTCTGGCATCAGGGTCCCATCTCCTTCTCTGACCCTGACCCTTCCCTGCCGCATTTTCAAAAGGGTCCTTGCGATTACATACAGGGACGTCATCTGCCCGTCTCAAGATCGTCAACCCACTCCATCTGCAAAGTCCTTTGTGCTACATAAGGTGACATAGGCACAGATTCTGGGAAATTCGGATGTGGGCATCTCTGGGGGCTGTCGTTCAGCCTACCATCCGTGGGTACACCTATGCACAAGTGAATTCATGTTATGTACAAAATGTTACGCACGGTACCATACAGCCTGTGTAAATATAGCATGTAATTGTATGTAACGTCGTGTATGTTAATACACGTATAACATAATGCCAGCCTACAGAAAAACTCCCCAGGTACCCTATAAAAGCCACAGTCCTTGGGATGACCTTATGAGTAGGGTGATCATACAGTCTTCGATGTATAGCAAGACTTCACAATGCAAACAGGCCTCATTAACAACCCTCATTAACAATTACAGAAAACCGAATGATGATGATGGTAATTACAGAATACCAGGCATATGGTCACCCTGCATCTAAGGCCCTATACGATCTGTGTCCTCACCTCATGTTCTCTCTCTGCCCCTCGCTCGCTCCTCACTGACCCCTCAGTGTTCCCACGATGCACCCTAGGGCCTTTGCACTTGCTGTCCCCTGCATGCAAGGTACTTGTCCACACAGCTCTGACCTTCATTTTCCTTCAACGTCCCCTCACTGGAGAAGTCTTTCTTGGCACTGTCTCAAAAATCCTACCCACCCAACAAACACTTCCTGTCCCCCTTTCTGCTTTCACGGTCACTTTAGCGCTTGTCTCTAGAAACTTGACTGTCAGAACATACATTTTGCTTCTCTTGTTTATCACCTGCTGCGTCCACCGCCGTGGGAGTTCCACGGGGCAAAGACCTTGGTTGATGTGGCTCTCTGGTGCCCCCTCACCTCGTGGACAGTGCCAGCTCTCAGATTTGGTGTCCAGTAAAGGCTTATGGAACAAAGCTGGTTGTCTAGGAGACTAGAAGCTCTTGGGTCTCCTTTACAGGGGACTCAGGGATGAAATGGGTGTCTAACACCTGTGGGTACCTGATACGGGGGAGTCCTGGATTATGTGGATCTCCCTGAGCACGGATCCAGGGGTGCGCTCTAGCGGGCACGTATCGCTGTATGGAGGCCCACGTGAAGATGAGGGGACCTTATGGCGGGCGCAAAGAATGTTCAGGGGTCTAAAAACGTGCACGGGGAGCTGAGAGGGTTCTGGAAGCTTCTCTGTGGAGTACTGAGGATCCTAAATGGGGGAATGGAACCAAGATGATCTGAGACTCCCAAATTCTTCCCTCTCTCTGCCTGTCTCCCTCTTTCTCTGCCCCTGCAGTCTGCCCTCACCTTCCCCAGCACACAATCTGCCACCTGTGTACGCCACAGGTCTTTCCCGGCCCCCAGCTCTCTCCTTTGACCCTCTCCACAGCTCTGTCTTTCTACATCTCTCTGTGCCTCCACCTGTCTGGGGTTTTACCTCCCCCTTATCCCCGTCCGCCTCTCTCTCCCACTTTCCCCTGCTCTCTGACCCTCCATCCCTCTGCCCTTCTTCCCCCTGCGCCTCACCCCTGCACTTTTCCCTCCCTCTGTCTCTGTCTCTGTGCTTCCCCATTGCTCTCCCCCATCTCCCTGTCTCTTTCCCTCACCTGTGTCTCTCTGGTTCTCTGTGGGTCGCTGTCTCTCGCCCTCCCCTTCTCTCCCCTTCTCCATCGCGTCTGCGTTTCTGCACACCTCTCTCCATCCCTCTGGCTGACTCCTTCCCTCCTTCGGCCTCGCTCTGCGTCTCCGCGTCGGACTCGCTCCAGCTCCGTCCCTTCCTACAACTCTCCCATCTCCGCGTCGGTTCCCGCAGCCCCGCAGCCCCTCGTCCTCTCCCGGCTCTGCGCGCCCCTGCCTGGCGCCGCCCGTCTCCGCTCGTCTCCACCCCTGTCGCCATGTGCCTCTAGGCCAGACTTCGCCTCCCTTTGTGTAGCCCCATCTCGCCCCGGTCTCCCCGCTCCCCGTCTCTCTCCCTCGCCCCGCGTCCGTCCCCTCTCCTCCTGCATCCCTGCATCCCTCCCTGCACCCTCCCACCGCCTCTCCATCCCTCCGGCTCCCAGGCCCGCCCCCTGCCCCCGCTCCCCCTCCCCCTCCGAAAGGGTTAACTTTGGGGAAGGGCCCGGAGTCCCCGGATGGTGATGTCAGCGTGCCGGAGAGAAAGGACGAGGTGGCGGGGGGAGGCGGAGAGGAGGAGGAGGCGGAGGAGAGAGGGCGCGTGGGGGGGCGGGGGGGACCTCGGCCTGCAGCATCCGCCGGCCCGCACCTCAGACCCCCCCGGCGGGGGGAGGCGCAGGAAGGGGGGGGCCGGCCAGGAACGGGCTGGGGAGGGGGGGCCGCGCAGCCCCCCCGGGCCATGCTGACTCCCGGGGCCTGACCCCCCCGGGCCAGCCCCCCCTCCCCCAGCTCCGCGGCCCGCCGACTGGGGGGGCCCAGCCCAGCCCCCTGGGGACCCCCGGAGAGGTGGGGAGCAGCCGGGGGGGCCGGGACGGAGCTGTCGCCGGCCCCCACCGGAGGGACGGGGCGACCTGCCGCAGGGGGGGCGGCCGGGGGGCCGGTCGGGCCGGGACCAAGGGCACCATGTCGTCGGGGGGCAAGGAGGGGGGCGGGGGCTCCCCCGCCTACCACCTCCCGCACCCACACCCACACCCACCCCAGCACGCCCAGTATGTGGGCCCCTATCGGCTGGAGAAGACGCTGGGCAAAGGACAGACAGGTGAGCCAGGGGAGGGGACACCTGGGGTGGAGGCCGAAGAGCTGGGGGGCAGAGGGCGGGACTCCCGGGTATTCAGAGGGCAGGGGCTGATGCCCAGACCTCGGGGTCCCTCACAGAACCGGGACTTCGGGTCCAGCCTGCTGGGTCCCCAGGATGGAGGGGGCTGGGGGCTTGGACCCCTGGGGGGAGGTGCTGGGGCCCAAAGGCCCCCATGGTGGGCAGGGGTTGGAGGGGCTCGGGCACCACGGAGGGGAAGGAGGCGGGCCTGCGGCGCGGGAGCGAGGCCCCTGCTGCAGTGCCGCGGCGGCGGGATGGGGGTGCGCCCCGGGCGGCGCTTCGCTCTGCGCGGCTCTGGACCTGGAGGCCTCCCGCTCTCCTGGCAGGCTGTCTGGGTGAGCGGCGTGAGGCTAGGGTGACGCGGCCTGCAGCCGTCTCCCTCTCCGCCCGCTCGCCGGCTCAGTGTGGGCAACGGGATGGAGAGGCAGAAAGGTGGGTCCGAGAGGCACGCTCCCAGGGCTGCTTGTGAAATCAGGGGGCCATGCTTTGCTGTCGCGAAACGCTGGCCCGGCCCGTAGCCTCTTTCCTGCCAGGTGGAGGGCAGGGGGTGTGCAGCTCCGCACACCTGTGTCCTGGGCGGGGGTCCCGCGGTGGGCCCAGGTCTCTGTGAAGCTGAGGGCTGGGCATGAGGGACGGGGGAGGCTCAGACCTCAAGATCCTAGTGGCAAGAGTGTGAAGGTGTCACTGACCTGAATTCCCGAGTTATGGGGAGGGAAGGGGCCATGGGCCTGGACTCCTGGGTCTGAGGGAGGAGGGGCTAGGGACCCAGACTCCAGGGTCTGTGGCTTTGGGGCTTCCCCCCGGGGAGTGGGCATGCTCTTCATGCTCCCAGCCACAGCTGCTGTTAAAAGCAGATCAGAAAAGGGGATTAAAAGGTCAGGGTTTGGGAGGAGGGGGAGGAGGGTGGTCCGGGAAGGGGGCAACCGTGAAATTATATTCCCTGGAAGTCATGGGGTCTCCAGAAGATTGAAGGGCAGAGAATTCCAGGGAAGGATGGGTTTAGAGGGAGAGAGAGGTTGCAGGAGGCAGTGGGGGAGACGAAACTATGGAGACACAGTGAGGAGAGATTCTGTGGAGAGATGGACTTCAGGGGACGCTCCAGAAGGACAGAGAATGGGGGTGAGAACCCAGGGTGGCTGTGAAGGTGGTGGACAGCCGGAAGGGACAGGACAGGGGCCCTGGCTGGCTCAGGCGGTGGGGCGTGCGAGCCCTGATCTCGGGGTTGTGAGTTCGAGCCCCACATTGGGTGTAGCGTTACTTAAGGAAAAAAGAAGAAGAAGAAGGGACAGAACGTGTCTATGTCTATGGGCAAAGGAAGAAGAGAGTGTGTTTTGTGGGAATGACAGCTGTCAGCGCCCGCAGGAGCTCAGGTCAGGGTGATTCAGGCCACTGCAGCCAGCAGGGAAAGGAGGAAAGGGGTAGCAAGGAGGACCGCAGAGCCAGAGGCCACATTTTCAGCCCTGCTTCCCCAGGGCTGGTGAAACTCGGGGTCCACTGCATCACGGGCCAGAAGGTTGCCATCAAGATCGTGAACCGAGAGAAGCTGTCCGAGTCGGTGCTGATGAAGGTGTGTGCGCGCTGGGGGCGGGCGTCCCTTTGGGGCGGGGGGGGGGGGGGGGGGGGCCATGCTGACCTCTGTCCCTGTGTCCCCAAACGTCCCCAGGTGGAGAGGGAGATCGCCATCCTGAAGCTCATTGAACACCCACACGTCCTCAAGCTGCATGATGTCTACGAGAACAAGAAATATTTGTAGGTATTTATAGACACCCAGCCCCCCATGTGACCCCTCCCCACCTTCCGAGGGTGGGACCTTTCTGGAAACAAGGCCTGAAGAGGCCTGGGGAGACTTAAGCTCTCCTGGCTGGGCCTCCGAAGGCGCAGTCAGTCCCTTCCCCACTACATGGAACCCCCCCCCACACACACACACGTGTGCGAGCACACACATAATCCTCCTTGTTTCCACACTGGCTGGCCTGACCTGGCTTGAGGCTCAGGACCAATGTGCCCCAGCAACAGGAGAGCCGAGCGTGAGCCATCCTGAATGGGGGGACAGAGACCCCTTCTTCCCCAGCCTGCACTGCAGGGAACGCTCTCTACTAGGTGACCCAGATGTCCCCCGGAGGTCCACCTTGCAGCTCCCCTCCCCAGTTACATTTGCTGAGGCAACGGGGCCTAACAAAGCCCGAAGCTCACTGAATCCTGCCTCTTCCTAACCCCCATCCCCCTGAAGCATTGAAACTTCTCCCCCCTACATAACTCTGGGTGCTATGGTGGACACCCCAATAATGGCCTTCTTAGGATTTCCTAGTCTGTATCTCAAAGTTGATTACCCCCCCCCCCAGGAACATAGGAGGGGAGTCCAGCTGTCCAGGGTACAGACAATAGGCCTTTGTCTGGACTCTGGTGACCCAAGGGACAGCTGGGCTGGGCAGGAGGAGAGAGGACAGACCCCCGCCCCCACCATCCAGTCCCCAGGATGAACTGACTCCAGTGCCCATCAGATGCTGGGGCGGGTCTCCCCAGGCAGTAAACTGCTCATGGGAATTGTAGTCTTAAGGCTTCCCCAGGTGTGGCAGCAGGGAAGCCGTTTGTCACCACCTGGTAGAGCTGTCCCTCCCACCCCACCACCTAGGTAGGGAGAGGAGGGCCCATGGGAGTGTGGACCATCAGCCTTCAAGAGCTCATAGAAACTGAGCCTTTGTTTCCAGTGGCTGATGGGAATCAGAGTTTTAACCTCCTGGAGTCTGATGGGATTTGGAGTCTTAGGATCCAGGTGGCTGATGGGAAGTGGGAGTCAATGTCCCAGAGGCTTATGGGCGTCGGGAGTTTTAAACCCTCGAGAACTGATGGGAGTTGTAGTCCTTTACCTCACAGACTTTGACTTAGATTGGTGAACACTACAATCGTTTATTGCCAGGAATTATTGATAATTCGAGTTTCCTTATCCCAGAGGCTTATAAGAACGAGAGGCTTGGCTTTGCAGAAGCTAATGGGAGTGGGGGAGGGAAGTGTCTTCATTTCTCAGATCCTGTGAGAATTGGGGTGTTTCTGTCCTCAATAACTAGGAGTCAAAGTACTATACTCCTAAAGTTGACATAGGATTCTGGAATTGAGTTTTGGTTTCCCAGAGGCTGAGGGGTATTGGAGTCTCTTTTGCCCAGGGACTCATTGAAATTGGAGTCTCCCCCTCCCAGGGATTCATTGAAATTGGAGTCTCCCTCATCCCAGGGACCTCATGGGAATTGGAATCTCCCCCTCTCAGGGACTTATGGGAATTGGAGTCTCCCTCATCCCAGGGAACTCATGGGAATTGGAGTCTCCCCCTCCCAGGGACTCATGGGAATTGGAGTCTCTCCTCTCCCAGGGACTCATGGGAATTGGAGTCTCTCCCTTCCCAGGAACTTCTGGGAGTTGGCGTTCTCCGCTGTCAGGGGCCAGTGGGATTGAGGTCTTGTGCTGGGGTCCAAGGGCTTCTGAAAGAGAAAGACCAGACTCTTTGGTCCAACACATGCCCCTTCCAGCCCTCTGCCCCCTCCACGTCCCCCAGGTACCTGGTTCTAGAGCACGTCTCTGGAGGTGAGCTGTTTGACTACCTGGTAAAGAAGGGGAGACTGACACCCAAGGAGGCCCGGAAGTTCTTCCGCCAGATCGTATCGGCGCTGGACTTCTGCCATAGCTACTCCATCTGGTGAGGGGGCAGCTAGAGGGGCGGCCGGGAGGAGCACTGCCCACGAGGCAGCCCCTTGGCAGCATACGGCGCGCTGGCGGGAAGCCAGTGTGGGGCGGCCCCAACGTAAATCTCTCTCCCTTTTAAGAAATTGAGCTATAACTCACATGTCATGAAATTCACCCCTTTAAAGTATACAGTTCTGTGGTTTGTAGTATAATCAGTGCTGTGTATGCTGCTGTGTAATTTTGGGACATTTTCATCACCCCCTACACCATCACCTCGTACCCATTAGGCCGTTGCCCGTCCCGCCCCCCTGCCCACAGCCTCTGACAACCACCAATCTGCCTTCTGGCTCCAGGGATTTGCTCATTCTGGACATTTCCTACAAATAGACTCATACTATATGTGGCCTTCTATGGCTGGCTTCTTTCACGGAGCAAAAC